AAATTTCAATTAACTTAAATGGTAGGTGTTATAAGTAGAGTCGGAAAATTTACTCTCTTTTTTTTTTTTTTCATGGATCATATGATAAATTGATAATTGTAATATTGTACCATAGGAAGTAGTCTACTAATGAAAGTTCTAAAATACTACTAATATATAGTTCATGCAGTTATTATGGTTGATGTAGCACACATAATAAGTATCGTTGATGTGGTTTTAATGGCTGTAAAATAAGATTTGTACACCTTTTTTATCTTCCGAAGTTATATCACAATATCCAAACTTGTTACAAAGCGGAATAAATCAAAAATTTAGTCCGAAAAATTTACGGAAGACACAGCTGATATGGTTTAATCCTCCAACACTAAATGTCGATGAAATACAAACGACAATCACAATACAAAGGACCAACAAAAAAACTGCTAAGTGTTTAGTCCCAAAAGACCCAAATTAAGAAGAGTCGGCTGGAAACGAGAATAACTGACAACAAACGTATGTATGGAAGATTAAAATACAGACTAATCAACTCTTTTTGTTCAAAAACACGGGTAAAACTTAAGTTAGTATTTTTTGTAGCGATCATAAATATTAAAATGTTTTGTTGTTGTGTTTACATTACAAGAAAATAAAAAGAAAACAAAGAGCTTTCAACATTTAACCCGCGTCTCTAGAACAAGAAACAAAATTAAAGAGTTTTAAAAGTCCTTTCACAGGTCAAACATGGACTTCATTTAGCTTCAATTATATAACCAATTTGTACATTAGAGCATCATTAGTGTCATAGTTAATCAAATAAACCTCTCTTCTCTATTTAACTTGTGTCTTCAACTTCCATGGGCAAAACTTGATATAATTCGATTTAAGGTGTGCATGGTAAAATGTACTTAAACCCAAATAACCATTTATCGCATCTCTCAATCTAAAACTTATTATAAAAAATAGTTGTGTCGAAGTAGCCCGCACGGTCAAATAACCCGATCCATATTCAATCCCAACTCAAGAGATAAAGTGAGTAATATGAACATGACTCGATTTCAAAACTTGTTTGACTGAGTGATGAATTTGGATAACAATGTCCAACGTCTCTTTCTTACATATTAAAAGAATTCACAGAAAAATCATAAGAAGTTGCCTCTTCTTTTTCTTTCTTATTTGCTTCTGTTTTCACACTCACACCATTTAGCTGATTGTGACTATATAATCGCGTACACGCACAAGGAGGATACACATTATATAATGTCGGTATATATAATATATACTCATGAAAACCTAGTAACATTAAAATTTCATTTCTATATCGAGTATTTTGTAGCATTCCTAGTTATTAGTTATTAATAAGTGTAGCTAGACTGATTGAAACAAGCAAGGGCAGAAGAAACTTCTGTTTGAATGAAGGCCTTGATTGTTTGTAGATTCTAGACTAGTTTTTGGTTTTTGTTTTTTAAAAAACCTTTTTTTTATCCAATCAAGATTTTGAAAAA